GCTGATGACGCAGCCATGAGAAGGTTTGGCACGACATGCAGCGTCACTGTCTCAGTCTCAGTCTCTGTCCGGCGCGGGTGAAGTAGGGGTGCTCCGATTGATCGGCTACCGATCACTATCGGCTGATAATCACGTTGGGATGATTGATCGGCGGTCTCTAAAAGGCCGATCTCAAAAAAACGATCTCAAGCTGATGACGCTTCCGTGAGAGGTTTGGCACGACATGCAGCGGCACCGTCTCAGTCTCTGTCCGGCGCAGGTGAAGTAATTATAATGCTGAAGGTGAGGTACCTTCATATTTCTTCATTAAATAACTTATAAAGTAATTTGAAAACCTCGTTTGAGACGTAATTTCACAAACAGCGTGAGTGAGTCACCACTCTCGCGCGCTATCTCTTTCTCTCTCAAAATACGCAAATGTCTTCAAATCACCACACATCGCGTCTGTCTATAAGCGAGCTGCACAGTTGACACAGGAATTGTCACTTGCACAATCGAGGCAGTGTCACATCTTCACAAAAGTTTATAAATTGCATTACTTTTTAATTCTTGCCAGCTTTTAATCATTCAGCGCTCGCGCGCTCTCCTGGAGACCGTGTGCTCATGCACACTGGCAGCGCATACACATAATGCCAAATTCACATTACTCCGTTTGCAGTGCTTATGTGGTGCGTATTTTTTCTGCGCTCATGTTAACGGATTAAAGTGTTCACTGCACACAGCTGCGGCCCGGCAGTGCGTTCAGGAGCGTTGCGTCTGCACTGCAGCAGTGCAGAGATCGTTTAATGGTAAGTTTGTGATAACGTAAGAAAAGTAGTTTAAATGTTTTGCCACTTGCTTGAGCAACTTAATATATACATCTAGAAGTAAATGCAAAATTAAAATGCATTGAATAATGTGTTGCTTATATTTATTGCGTTTAAACATGTCTGTGAAAGATTGTATTACTGTACTGTGTAAAAAAAAGAAATGCAAATCTGAAAAAGTATTTCCAGTGACAATGTTTGGATTTGAAATCAAAATAATGGATAAATGTTGTGTTTGTGGTAAACAGCCACAGATCAGTAGCGGTCTCCTATGTGAAAGCTGCTTCCCCTCACAAGAGTCACCTAAGAGGGGAATTCCCCCAATTTCAAAAATGAAATTCAGGCCCTGAATAAATGTCTAAAAATCCTGATTGGAGTATCACTATAAATAGTTATAAATGATAAAAGAAGGCTTTAAAAAGATCGGTATCGGCAGATACTGCTTTCTGTGATCGGCGATCAGTGATCGGCCTCAAAAATCCTGATCGGAGCACCCCTAGTCTACATTATGTAGACATGCATTAAAAGTGTAATGGAATATAATTACAGTATTTTTTGTGATTAAGCTATAGTGTTTATGAATTTATACTAAATGTATTTAGACTACTATTTTAAATACAAATACCTGGAAACCATATATATATATATATATATATATATTTATCATGGTATTGATAACATGCTATATGTATAGTTTTAACTGTGGTTATCATGATCCAAATGTATACTACAATGGAAGACCAATGGTTAATGTTAATAAAACTCAAACAGGCAGATTAAATTAAATTAAATTACCATATAAAAATTAGGTTGTTACAATTTTTACAGATGTTATGGTTTTTGATAATGAACATAAATTTCCATCTGCATCCTAACTCAAGCTACTACAACAGTCAACTCAAGCTATCATCAAATGCGAATTTCTAAGAGACAAACAAAACAAAACAAAATATTATTAATATTGCAGTCTGCACTGCAAACTGTGCTAGGTATGTGTCATCAACTCAGGCAACACAAACCTGTTTCATGATTTAGTATCACTCATTAGAACATGCAATAACAAAGAAATAAATTTTTCTATTTTCAAATTTTTTGTTAAGGAAAAACAACTGTAAAATTACAAAGAATTCAAAAACATTAAGTGTTTGTCATGTCCTGACCATAAAGAGTAATTTAAATCCACAATTTACGGTCTGGTTTCTACAACTTTGACTACAAAAATCTGCCTTTAAACTTGAAAGAAATAAAGATTTGAAATTCGATATCATCTGATATGAAAAAGTTTGTGATAATTTTTTGGGCCATATCGCCCAGCCCTAATTTAAAGTTAGATTTTAGACCTTTGAGTAGGGGTGTGCGATATTGACAAAAAAATTATATCTCGATATTTTCTGGGATTTTATCAATAACACCAATATTTTGCTGAGTGTGTTATTGTGCTGGTATCTCAAGCAGCTGACTCCTAAAGTTTTTGATATTCTTCATATTCTGTTTGGTGATCAGTCAACAGCACTGATAGAAATTAGTATTTTCCAATACGTTTAAATTGATTTTTACATTTAATGGGCATTTTTTACCTTTATAAAGCCATTTTTTCTAAAAGTGTGCATTACCTTTTGAGTCATATTGTTACATTTAATCAGTCAATTAGAATAATAAGACATTTGGGCTGTTACTAAGCAAATGAAATCAGTATTGACAAAGTTCATCTTTGCAATGCAGAGGAAACACAGAAGCTGCATCTGAAGTGGCATTTAGATGTCTCACTATTTAACGCAGCTCAGAGGGACTAATAATGTTTTGATATTTTAAACATGAAACATTGAAAACAGATGTTTGAAATAATTAAAAAAATGAAAAGATACTTTTAAATGTGAAATTAAAAGCGCCAGTAGGTGGCAGGAAGTCACTGTTAATAAGTGAGTCATTGCAATTGAACCGAATCATTTAAACGGCTGATTCATTCAGGAACGAAACACAGTCATGTTGAGACGCAAAACAGTGCTGTGGCTGTGTTTGGATATTGCTATTATTTTTGTTGGCGAAATTGAGCAAAAACAGGCAATATGCTGTCAAAAATGTAAATCTCTTAATTAACTTCTTGTTTAGTGAACTGTTGTAAAAATCCATATCACATTTGTAATCATGCTGATTTTTGGAGGAAAAAAATGCATTCTTCATGTGATATTGATTAACTATATGGAATGGTATAAATATATAAATTTTCTGCCACCATATCTTGAATTTTGTGATCATTAAATGCATTTTAATAGACTGAATCATGCAGTGAAAGAATGCACTCTTAATACGCACGGCCGCATACGCACTTGTCTAACCTACTAGACTTCATCACGTAATGAATGCGTGCACTCTACATTTACATTTAGCAGACGCTTTTAGTAGATGTGTTTTGTTTGGTTTTTGCGATATACTCGATAATGTCAAATCGCACATTGTTAAAACAACAATTTACGATATTATCGCAGACGCTATATATATTGCACATCCCTACCTTTGAGACATTTGCAGATACAAAACTATATTACAGAACAGTTCTTACCTGTAGTGTACATGTGTTACTGTTGGATCCCTGTAACCAAAAATCCATGTCTGAATGTCCATGGGTCTTGCATTAGGGTAGGCTATGGTCACATCTATTACCCACTGTAGTCCTTTTGCTTTGTTACCTGAAGGTGAGCAGACACAGAGACTTGAGTCAGAGAAAGAGCTGTACCAATGTTAACTTCAACGACAATTGACTTCAATAATGAAACAAAAAAGCACTATTCATACTCTTCCCATCCAAACAAAAACTGTACTTGATAGCGATCAAGAATATAGTGCGCAGGTCATAAAGGTCTATATTATGTTTTATTTTTTTGTGTCTAACATCTTTTGCGTTCCACAGAAGAAAGTCATTCAAACGGGATTTTCACACACTGCGATGATGCATTTCCAGTTATTAACACCACAAAACTAGATTTTATATTTTGACCAACTGAATGCACAATTTTGGTGCAATCAGTAACTACAATTCTCAACATGAACTGAATGAACCACTTTTAGTTCTCGAGTTTAAGAATTACAAATGTGCAAAATATTTTTTTCTATTCATTACAACTATTCATTGTGTTGTTCATTGTGGTGTCTGAACGACGAGTCGGTCTTAAGAAAGCTCTGTGTAATTATGGTCCACCAGACACCGATTAGACATGTTTCTTAGGAGACGTTCAAATAAGATGTGTTCAAAAACTTGGCGATACCGGTATTTTCATTGTATTTGTACATTTTTTAAATATTGGGTACAGAAATCAAAAGATATTTATTTATTTTTTATCAAACTATCACGTTTATTTTTCAAATCCACTGGCCACAATTGAAAGCGGAGCTCAGAAATACCTTGTATCCATCAGGCAGGCACTAATATAAAATAACCTAATAATAAATTGAATAAATGGTCGGGTTTTTCTTTAAAAAAAATTAATTTATGCACGTCGGGTTCGGGTAAGAAGTGATTCGGGTTGAATCGGGTCGGGTACAGATTTAGAAGACCTCTACATGTAATGCTTTAAACTGCAGTTACAAATGCATAAATAATGTTTTGATATTTTAAACAAAAAACGTTGGCAACTGATGTTTGAAATTATTAAAAAAATGAAAAGATACTTTAAATGTGAAATTAAAACCTCCAGTAGGTGGCAGCAAGTCTCTGTTAACAAGTGAGTCATTGCGATTGAACTGAATCATTTAAACGGGTGATTCATTCAGGAATGAAACACCATCATGTTGCTCAGAGACGCAAAATAGTGCTGTATTGCTATTTGCTATTATTTTTGTTGGCGAAATTGAGCAAAAACAGGCAATATGCTGTCAAAAATGTATAATTAACTTAAATGCATTTTAATAGACTGAATCATGCAGTGAAAGAACGCACTCTTAATACGCACGGCCGCATACGCACTTGTCTAACCTACTAGACTTCATCACATAATGAATGCGTGCACTCTACATTTACATTTAGCAGACGCTTTTAGTAGATGTGTTTTGTTTGGTTTTTGCGATATACTCGATAATGTCAAATCGCACATTGTTAAAACAACAATTTACGATATTATCGCAGACGCTATATATATTGCACATCCCTACCTTTGAGACATTTGCAGATACAAAACTATATTACAGAACAGTTCTTACCTGTAGTGTACATGTGTTACTGTTGGATCCCTGTAACCAAAAATCCATGTCTGAATGTCCATGGGTCTTGCATTAGGGTAGGCTATGGTCACATCTATTACCCACTGTAGTCCTTTTGCTTTGTTACCTGAAGGTGAGCAGACACAGAGACTTGAGTCAGAGAAAGAGCTGTACCAATGTTAACTTCAACGACAATTGACTTCAATAATGAAACAAAAAAGCACTATTCATACTCTTCCCATCCAAACAAAAACTGTACTTGATAGCGATCAAGAATATAGTGCGCAGGTCATAAAGGTCTATATTATGTTTTATTTTTTTGTGTCTAACATCTTTTGCGTTCCACAGAAGAAAGTCATTCAAACGGGATTTTCACACACTGCGATGATGCATTTCCAGTTATTAACACCACAAAACTAGATTTTATATTTTGACCAACTGAATGCACAATTTTGGTGCAATCAGTAACTACAATTCTCAACATGAACTGAATGAACCACTTTTAGTTCTCGAGTTTAAGAATTACAAATGTGCAAAATATTTTTTTCTATTCATTACAACTATTCATTGTGTTGTTCATTGTGGTGTCTGAACGACGAGTCGGTCTTAAGAAAGCTCTGTGTAATTATGGTCCACCAGACACCGATTAGACATGTTTCTTAGGAGACGTTCAAATAAGATGTGTTCAAAAACTTGGCGATACCGGTATTTTCATTGTATTTGTACATTTTTTAAATATTGGGTACAGAAATCAAAAGAATATGTATAATGTTAGTAGGTTAACTTCATTTATCAAATATATATCCTTCATTTATTTTCACACTTAATTATGCCCATTAAAATATATTTTACAAGTTTTAGTTACTTTCACTGTTAATTTTTTGCTCTATGGTACATCATCTTTAATTTAATAGCATTAGAGCTGCTCCATTGCAGCGGCTCAGAACTGTAATCATGCGTTTTGCTGTAATAATGCAGGGAACCACTCATTATAAATCTTTCAGAAATATAAGTAGCATTGTTTTCATCTGAAACGTGCTGCGATTTATATTCCAAAGCGACTCACATAATACAGAAACACTCATGAAGCAAGCAAAATGCGTGCGCAATGCGCGCACGTATTTGTACTGGTGCAGAATGAGAGGGACAAGTACAGTACAGCTAGGTATGGGCCGGTATGAGATTTTGACGGTATGATAACCTTAAAGGGGTCATATGATGCGATTTCAAGTTTTCCTTTCTCTTTGGAGTGTTACAAGCTGATTGTGCATAGATAAGATCCCTGAAGTTGCAAAGACTAAAGTCTCAAAACCAAAGAGATATTCTTTATCAAAGTTAAGAGTCTGCCACGCCTACCTAACACGGCTCATTCTAACACGCCCCCACATATCTACCTCACTATGTGGAAATATTTGCATAATGCCACCCAAATGTGCACGCAAAGAAAGAAGGCGTGGTTTCAGTAACCGCAGTTAGTGTTGAAGCAGCCATGTCAGGGAGATGCTGTGTGTTTCTAGGCGAAAGCAAAAGCATTTTATTTGGCCTTCCAGAAGTAGATGCATTTAGGAATCTTTAAGATTACTTACAACAGAACAGCAATGCATTTTATGGACGCGCGCGCGTGCGTGCGTGTGTGTGTGTGACAGAGAGTGAGAGAGAGATCACAGTGGAGTCAGCTGTCTTAACCGTGGCTTGTGTACTGCAAACACATACCAGCTTCATCACTGTGTCTGTCACGCGACTCTTTTCCCCTTTCGGGCTGTCTTTACATTTATTTTGAAAGACGAAACTCGCGATTATGGTAAGGGGCGTTACATTTGCGACGAGTGCTTGCGGTGTTCGGCCAATCACAATGCACTGGGTCAGCTGGCCAATCAGAGCAGACTGCGCTTGTCGGAAGGAGGGACTTTGTAGAAAACGAAGCGTTTGAGAGAGGCGGGGCATAGAGGACCTACAATAATGTACAGTATTTGAAAAATAATGTGTTTTTTGAACATTAAAGCATGTCAACATATTCTGTTACACCAAATACACAAAATAATGATCTTTAAAAAAGCATCATATGACCCCTTTAAGCAAAAATATCACGGTTTCACGTTATTGTTGTTACAGCTCTAAAATGTGTTAATTTGAAATGTCTGGGTAAAAAAACCCCAAAAAGAACAGAACAATATATTTTGAGCAACATACAGAATATTTGGAACAGTAGCATTTGTTTATTTTTTCTTTGATTTGTTTCTGAAATGTGGGCTGTCCTGCAACTTTTGATGTGGATGGCTGATTTGCTGCTAGAGCAACTGCTGCCCTAAAAAGAAGAAAAATAAAGACTGACATCTTTATTTAACCTAAATCTGTAATTACAGTTATTTAATTTTAGTTATATAATTC